ACGACAGTCGACGGGTATGCGCGAGAGGATCAGTTCTTGTCGACCGTGCGCCAGTTTCCTGCGCGTTGAGAATTCGCTTCTCCTCCAGCTAAGAAAAGACACTATTCAATAGACTAATGAGTGACATCTCGCATCTTGTTTAAGAGTCAATTTCCGATAAACACAGCTTGTTGACTGAGTACACGTAAACACATGCTTCAGTACTTTTTCGATGTACCTGATATGCTGTTAGCGCACAGCCATCGCACGCAAAAAACTTTCACCTCAAATACATGACAAGTCGTATCGTCGAAATTTCGAGGCAAAATGTCTTGCGCACAGGCATTTTTTCTTATTAAAACGTGTCCGCAAATTTGCAAGGCTCCAGCCGCATGCAAACATTTGAAGCTGAAGCGATTATTGTGAGCAAAACCATACGACACTCAAGTAGACTTTAAGAACTAAACAGATTATATTTCATAAAACAACCTTTTTGTTTGTAACCTCTTCGCACTCAATTTTTCATCAAAAATGTAAGTGGTAACATGACAAATCGATGTAAGCTATTCTACGGTGGGTAGATCAGGTCAAATTTTTTGATACGCCGAAAATGTCTGAGAAAACGGGGAAGAAAACTTAGTCTAGCCATAAACTAGGGAAATCATTACTTTTGGCTCCAATATCTTTAAAATTCGTCCTGTGATATAACAAAGTTGACCACAATCTTGACGCAGTTAGGGAGAGGTAATGAAAACTTTTTACTCACTCCCTCTGGTCGTGTTTAAATGTATTAATAGAGATGTACCGCTAAATAATTTACCAGGACAGAAGAAACCAATTTAGGAATGAAGGAGGGACTACTGGTAACATGGTGGGTCAGGAACACGTTCTAAATCTATTTGGCGCATTTTGGAGCACTGATTGGGGAATGAAAATATTGTCACTTCCAAGCAACCTTGGGGCTAGTTCATTTTTTTTTCTTTTTTATGGTTATTTCTACTGTAACAGCCTCGTACACCGGGGCTAAGGCATTTTTCTACTTCCTTTTTGCCAATAAAGTGCGTAAGGGGGATGGGACCCAGGCTCCCTCGGACCCCTATTCCTTCGGAAATGATTTACACAGCCGCTGCTTTAACTAGCAGGGTTTGGTCATACCGGTCATACTTTTAGAGTTTCCTGACTTTTCGGGTCTGGTTAACTGTCTTTTAAAAGCAAAGGACTCGCACTTCGCGCCGCCTTGCGCGCTTGCCTCTGGTCGATTGCAAAACGCAACTGAGATACGCCTGTTCTGCAGGCCAGATTTAAAATCGCTTAAAATCCAAGCGACAGCGCTGTCCTTACACAGGTCTCTTCCAGGTTCATCCTTGGTCCACTTATTTTTTTTACGACGTGTTTTGTCGGTTTTTTTTCTTTTTACCCTGAAAAGTGACACCTAAAAACTGTTTAGATTCCAAATCTTGCATGTCACCTCATTATAAGTCGGTCCATGAGTTTAACGAAAAGTTCAGTCTTCTGTCACAGATAGCCTTGGGTTCAGGCATTCATTAACCCTTTAACTTCCATGAGTGACCAAGACAGAATTTCTCCTCACAATATCAAGACAATATCAAGAAGACAAGTGAGGAGAATAAAGAAAAGTTTTAATTAGGGATTATAGGTTGATCCAAACCCGAATTGTCCTAACTAACACCAAAGGAATTGACTGGGAGACAGAAAGGAGAATTACTTATAAGATCTTGGAAGTGAAAAGGTTAACGAATAACACGTAAGCGCGCGCTATTCAAAGTGATCGTCGCCAGAAATTCTCTTAATTTTGTCATTGACTTACTCCTCCCTTCCAACAAAATGTCAAATGACTTGCCTCATTTTTGACATTCAAATGCTTCTTTATTGAACTTACGAAATAGGTAAACAACTAATTAGGAGTGACTAAGTACATCACTAGGCTTCAGCTTTCTCGCACAGTTTGAACTTCTATCGATGCCTTGTATAATGCACAATTGTGAAATCGGCCAATAGATGGAAACATAACCCTTTTTAAATCCTCGTTTCGCTGTTGTGCTATTAATTTTAACAGTATATCTAAAATGCATCGTGATGCTTGAACAATGAGCATAACTTATCGCATTCAAACGTAAAGGAAAACTTAGTCTAGATATTGGTGAGAGAAAGATTAAATCCGGGCCATAAAGGTAAAAATCTGTTATTTAAGTCCTGAAAAACAATGTTTCCGATACAAAAAAAAGAGCTTTGATAAGCAATGCCTAAGTAAAAATCCTCAAAAAAGTTTATGACAGAAAACTAACTAACATACTCGAGCAATCAGACAACCTATTATTCTCAAAGGTCTATGGATATGGTTGTAATAGCTTTATATCAGTCATCTGGCAAAAACCGATCGAGAGAAAATCTGTAAAAAAAATCTCTGGAAATCACCTTAAAGAGTCTCAACTTTGACGTTAATGTGACGCCCACATTAACGTCCATGTTAGATTAAAAATATAACTTTCTATATTGCTGGTCATGATAATTTCAAGACATCTCATTAAAAGAAAAATTACACGAAAATCAGTTTGAGTAAGATATTAAGGATCAAAACATTTGAAAGTTCTTTTCCTTTAGAGTATCCAAAATCCTTCAAGCTCGTAAGAACAGTTCAGACGGGTGACAAGTCAAGTTTTGACTCTCTGTTGACTCTCCCTGCTTTAAAAAGAAGACTCTTGACAAAGTTTTCATCAGTAGCTTACTGCTTTCTGATCCAAATATCATCGTTAACTTCCTCGGGTTTGGTCCTTGTTCTGATATAGTTGCAATGCTCACTGCCTCAGCTGAAAAGTAAGAGTAAAAATTTAGGAAGGATCGTTGAGTTGCCATCGAGTGTTTTCCTTGGCTATGCAAAATTAAACAATACACCGGAAAACTGGATAGTTATAGAGAAAATCTTATCTTTTTTTCATTCTTATCATGGTTATCATCGTAAATGTTGCAGCGACTGCATTTCATCTCAATTTGCTCGAGCAACCAAAAATTCCTAACTCCATTGAAAGAAAAACAACATACAACAACTATAATTTTGATTTATGTCACTTGGTATTGAAAAAATGTTATAAACAGAGTAATTACATGGTTCAGAGTCTGAATTTCCTTGAAATCCAGGTTGACGTCATCACCAATGAGTACAAATGGTGCCCAGTACTTCACCTCCTCGTACTTTTCGATTTCTCTCATACACTTCATGGCCTGCTGGAGAGCTTCGCTTGCCTTCTTGCCCTTAGCAAGTGCATCGTAGAAGAAACTCATGAACTCCAGGGTTCCCTCGTCATCAATTGCCCATAAGGTTGCCACAACAGATCTGGCACCGGCACCCAAAAATGCTCGTGCGATGCCGACCACACCCTCGGCCATGACCTCCCCACGAGCACTGTGAGGACAACTCAGTACAACCAGTCGAGCCCGCAGCCCAGCTTCTAGGACATCTTCCATCGTCAGTAGATAGTCTTTTTCTTCTGGCTGAGAGTTCTTCCTTGTAGTGTTTGGTGCCAAGATAACTTCCCCAGTTTCCATTTTACCGTGCGCTGCAATGTGCACTAACGCCACTGATGACATTCGTTTTAACACCTCATCTTTTGTAGCCTTTTCTCCAGTGAGAGGGGAATGATTGAGGATGCGTCCAATCATCTCCACTTCTTTTCTTGCTCCCGGAAGTTGCACTAAACGTCTTCCCTGGTAGATGATATCTCTGAAACATGGGTCGCCAACCAGCAATGCACCACTCTTCGCGTGGAAGTCAGCTGGGCAATCATGTATTTGTTGTAAGGTCGTCAAGGACGGAAGCACACGAATTGTGAAAGAATCATTTAGACACGATGACCTCGAGTCCTCCAATGCGGCATAAGGTACAAGGCAAAATGGCCCCTCTGGAACGACAGTTAGCTCGTTGCCTTCGATCAGATCAGCGATAGGACTAACGATGATGTCACGAAGCTTCTGCAGAGCACTTGATTGTGAGTACCTCACATCATCTCGGATCATATCTTTGGCCACTTGATCCTCTTTTGGCGAATCAGCTGAAGGATTTCCGCGTGTGACAGCATCTCCCCTAAAATTCTCCATAAGGGCAGTTTTGTTCAGTAGCTGGATGAAAGATTCCAATTCATCCTCACACTTATAATTGTTCACGTGAATCTTTCTCATTTGGATATTATCTTCACTGAGGCAAACCCAGAAGTAAACGCACGGTCCACTGATTGCTATGAAAACTGTGCTTGATGGAACAGAACTCAGGGAAAGGCACGAACCGCTCCTCCTGGAAGTATCTTCAGGCTGATATCTTGCGTCCATGAGATCTCTCAGAGCTTGAGCACGTCCTTTTTCTGCGGCAAGAAGAGCGTTCACAACTTTACCTTGAATGAGGCTTATACGCCACAAACCTTTGTATGCACTTTGGTGCTGATTACGATAGCAAATCTTCCACGTATCTTGAAATTGAAGACCGGCCCTGATATCATCATACACCTCTACACTCGAGTAATAGTAGGTAAAGGCCCTCATGGGATCTCCTTGGCACTCGAAACTTATACCGAGAGAACCGAGTGAGCATGCCTCTCCAGCCTTGTCTCCTACTTCTTTGGATATTTCTAGGTGACGTTGGTACGACTCAATTGCCCTTTTAAACTCTCTTTGACCGAGAAGAATTCTGCCGAGATGGCAATAACTGATTCCCTCTCCAGCCTTGTCTCCCACTTCTTTCACAATTTCTAGATGACGTTGCTGATACTCGATTGCTGTTTTAAACTTCCCTAGACCTTGATAAGCGATGCCGAGATTGCCATAGCTGATTCCCTCTCCGGCCTTGTCTCCCACATCTTTAGCAATTTCTAGATGACGTTCCTGGTACTCGATTGCTATTTTGAACTGTCCTAGACCTTGATAAGCGTTGCCGAGATTGCCATAGCTTCTTCCCACTCCGGCCTTGTCTCCCACTTCTTTTGCAATTTCTAGATAACGGTTGTGATACTCGATTGCTGTTTTGAACTCTCCTAGACATTGATAAGCGTTGCCAAGATTGCCATAACTGATTCCCTCTCCAGCATTGTCTCCCACATCTTTAGCAATTTCCAGATGACGTTGATGGTACTCGATTGCTGTTTCGAACTGTCCTAGACCTTGATAAGCATTGCCGAGATTGCCATAACTTTGTCCCTCTCCAGCCTTGTCTCCTACTTCTTTAGCAATTTCTAGATGACGTTCCTGGTACTCGATTGCCGTTTTGAACTGTCCTAGACCTTGATAAGCGTTGCCGAGATTGCCATAGCTTTTTCCCTCTCCGACCTTGTCTCCCACCTCTTTAGCAATTTCTAGATAACGGTTGTGGTACTCGATTGCTGTTTCAAACTCTCCTAGACCATGATAAGCATTGCCAAGATTGCCATAACTGATTCCCTGTCCGGCCTTGTCTTCCAGTTCTTTAGCAATCTCTAAATGACGTTGCTGGTACTCGATTGCTGTTTTGAACTGTCCTAGACCTTGATAGGCGTTGCCGAGATTGCCATAACTTCGTCCCTCTCCAGCCTTGTCTCTCTCTTTCTTAGCAATTTCTAGAGAATGCTGATGGCACTTGATGGCTGTTTTGAACAGTCCTAGTCCTTGATAAGCGTTGCCGAGATTGCCATAACTTCGTCCCTCTCCAGCCTTGTCTCCTACTTCTTTAGCAATTTCTAGATGACGTTCCTGGTACTCGATTGCCGTTTTGAACTGTCCTAGACCTTGATAAGCGTTGCCGAGATTGCCATAGCTTTTTCCCTCTCCGACCTTGTCTCCCACCTCTTTAGCAATTTCTAGATAACGGTTGTGGTACTCGATTGCTGTTTCAAACTCTCCTAGACCATGATAAGCATTGCCAAGATTGCCATAACTGATTCCCTGTCCGGCCTTGTCTTCCAGTTCTTTGGCAATCTCTAAATGACGTTGCTGGTACTCGATTGCTGTTTTGAACTGTCCTAGACCTTGATAGGCGTTGCCTAAATTGCCATAACTTCGTCCCTCTCCAGCCTTGTCTCTCTCTTTCTTAGCAATTTCTAGAGAATGCTGATGGCACTTGATGGCTGTTTTGAACAGTCCTAGTCCTTGATAAGCGTTGCCGAGATTGCCATAACTTTTTCCCTCCGACTTTGTCTCCCACCTCTTTAGCAATTTCTAGATAACGGTTGTGGTACTCGATTGCTGTTTCAAACTCTCCTAGACCTTGATAAGCGTTGCCGAGATTGCCATAGCTTCTTCCCTCTCCGGCCTTGTCTCCCACCTCTTTAGCAATTTCTAGATAACGGTTGTGGTACTCGATTGCTGTTTTGAACTCTCCTAGACCATGATAAGCGTTGCCAAGATTGCCATAACTGATTCCCTGTCCGGCCTTGTCTTCCAGTTCTTTGGCAATCTCTAAATGACGTTGCTGGTACTCGATTGCTGTTTTGAACTGTCCTAGACCTTGATAGGCGTTGCCGAGATTGCCATAACTTCGTCCCTCTCCAGCCTTGTCTCTCTCTTTCTTAGCAATTTCTAGAGAATGCTGATGGCACTTGATGGCTGTTTTGAACAGTCCTAGACCTTGATAAGCATTGCCGAGATTGCCATACCTTTTTCCCTCTCCGACGCTGTCTCCCACCTCCTTAGCAATTTCTAGATAACGGTTGTGGTACTCGATTGCTGTTTCAAACTCTCCTAGACCTTGATAAGCGTTGCCGAGATTGCCATAGCTTCTTCCCTCTCCGGCCTTGTCTCCCACCTCTTTAGCAATTTCTAGATAACGGTTGTGGTACTCGATTGCTGTTTTGAACTCTCCTAGACCATGATAAGCGTTGCCAAGATTGCCATAACTGATTCCCTGTCCGGCCTTGTCTTCCAGTTCTTTGGCAATCTCTAAATGACGTTGCTGGTACTCGATTGCCGTTTTGAACTGTCCTAGACCATGATAGGCGTTGCCGAGATTGCCATAACTTCGTCCCTCTCCAGACTTGTCTCCCTCTTTTTTAGCAATTTCCAGAGAATGCTGATGGCACTTGATGGCTGTTTTGAACAGTCCCAGACCTTGATAAGCGTTGCCGAGACTGCCATAACTGATTCCCTCTCCGGCGTTGTCTCCCATTTCTTTAGCAATTTCAAGATGACGTTGATGGTACTCGATTGCTGTTTCAAATTGTCCTAGACCTTGATAAGCGTTGCCGAGATTGCCATAAATTTGTCCCTCTTCAGCCATGTCTCCCACTTTTTTCGCAATTTCTAGATGACGGTTGTGGTACTCGATTGCTGTTTGGAACTTTCCTAGACCTTGATAAGCATTGCCGAGATTGCTAGAACTTTGTCCCTCTCCAGCCTTGTCTCCCACTTCTTTCGCAATTTCAAGATGACGGTTGTGGTACTCGATTGCTGTTTCGAACTGTCCTAGACCTCGATAAGCATTGCCGAGATTGCCATAACTTTGTCCCTCTCCAGCCTTGTCTCCCACCTCTTTAGCAATTTCTAGATAATGTTTCTGGTACTTGATTGCTGTTTTGAACTGTCCTAGACCATGATAGGCGTTGCCGAGATTGCCATAACTTCGTCCCTCTCCAGCCTTGTCTCTCTCTTTCTTAGCAATTTCCAGAGAATGCTGATGGTACTCGATTGCTGTTTTGAGCTGTCTTAGACCTTGATGGGCGTTGCCGAGATTGCCATAACTTTGTCCCTCTCCGGCCTTATCTCCCACTTCTTTAGCAATCTCTAGATGACGTTGCTGGTACTCGATTGCTGTTTTGAACTGTCCTAGACCATGATAGGCGTTGCCGAGATTACCATAACTTCGTCCCTCTCCGGCCTTGTCTCCAACTTCTTTAGCAATTCCTAGATAACGGTTGTGGTACTCGATTGCTATTTGGAACTGTCCTAGACCATGATAGGCGTTGCCGAGACTGCCATAACTTCGTCCCTCTCCAGCCTTGTCTCCTTGTTTCTTAGCAATTTCCAGAGAATGTTGATGGTACTTGATTGCTGTTCTGAACTGCCGTAGACCTTGATAAGCCTTGCCGAGATTGCCATAACTTTGTCCCTCTCCGGCCTTGTCCCCCACTTCTTTAGCAATTCTTAGACAACGGTTGTGGTACTCGATTGCTGTTTTGAACTGTCCCAGACCTTGAAAAGCGTTGCCGAGATTGCCATAACTTCTTCCCTCCCTGGCTTTGTCTCCCACTTCTTTAGCAAATTCAAGACGACGTTTGTGGTACTCGATTGCTGTTTTTAATTTTCCTAGACTTTGATAAGCGTTGCCGAGATTGCCATAACTGATTCCTGCTCCGGTCTTGTCTCCCACTTCTTTAGCAATTTCTAGATGACGTTGGTGGTACTCGATTGCTGCTTTGAGTTGTCCTAGACCATGATAAGCGTTGCCGAGATTGCCATAACGTCTTCCTTCTCCGGCCTGGTTTCTCAGTTCTTTAGCAATTTCTAGATAACGAAGCAGACCTTTACTATTCTTATCAATCTCAAAACTTGTCAAGAATATAGAAAACATGATTAAATGTACAAAAATGGAACGAAAATGTGTGTTTCAACAATGATTAGAATATTAGGCAGAACAATTAAATTCGGTAAAAAGTTTTGGTTTTCACGTCCCTTGCAATTAACATTTTCGTGGTGACCAAATCACCTTGGTTTATGTTCGACCATGAGTGCTCTACTTGCAAAGATAAACTTATTGACTCTCAGCAAGTTATTCCCAGAGCGGTAGAAATTTTTTATATAACTATTTCAAAAACTACACTGGGTCGCCTTAAAAAAATTATTTCCCCTTGTTGTCTCACCTCTTGAGGTGTCATCGTATATCTCCAGTTTTGAATCACTTGACGTAAATTGGCTTTTCTCTGTCGCTGAAATTACCAAGCGGAAAATATATCGATCTTTTCAGTGATCACAACTATGAGCAATTCCAACATGCGCAGTATCCTCGTCACCCAGAATACCAACCTATTTATTAGATTCCGTAATACCTTTAAGTGTAAATGTTTCAAAGATAAGTGCACATGATTAAAGATATACTTAACTATTCGACCAAAAGGCCTAACAACCACTTCAAAACTATCATATAACGGTCTTCTTCTCTCACCTGTGACTGGAGGCTCAATGTTCAAGTCCAGTTCTTCCCCCGTTGTTGGAAAATTACTTTCTGCCATAGCTGGAAATAAAATGGAGTCGATTTTAATGCGCTAGAAATCATGGTTAAAAATCAAAGAAGGAGACTGAAATGAAAGTAATCTAAAGAGAACGTCGAGAAAAAAATAAAAGTCCCAAAGTTTCCTCTGTCACGCTATCGTGATGGCGTGACAGCTCGAGTCACGTTCCGCTGTTTTGACTTAATTGGACGTAGAAGGAAAGCCTTTCGACCAATATTTCAACCGATAAACTCAAACTGGTGATGATTAAAGACACCTAAGACTCCTTACAGTTAGTATATTTTACTTAAACATAATGCATGGATAACCTTTTTTTTTAATTTTATTATCATCATTAAAGTTTTTTTTTTTTTGCGAACCACTAGGCTCTTTTAACCTAAAAGTTCGTTTTAAGTATAAAGTTGGCATTAACTGTCAAGGGTCCAAGTACTCACTACTGAATCATTAAGGCAAACACAAGCGAGGTTTTGCGTAACCGTCACGAATTCTACCAACACCCTTCCCCCCCGGCCTATTACGTAAAGAACTGCTTTCATATACCGTCACTCAGACACACCTATCCACCAAAGGTTTCAGTTATTTCATAAAGCGCATGTGTAACAATTTCCACAAAGCTACAGAAGATTCCATAAATTTTCTTTTGAAGGCGCTTATAAAATATGAAAAACTGAAAGTGGCTGGCCCATAAAAAATTATGTCGGAGAAAGTAAATAATAAATAGTCTGTTCCTGTACGATTTTGAAGGGGATATTCGGGAAATATCTACTAAAACCGATTTCTGACCGAAAATCGGTTAGAAATAACACGACTAACCACCTAGAGGATACGTAACTTGAATTGCTCAAGACCAAAAAAATTTACTTCCAGTCAAGGTCTATGTTTTTATTGTGCCAATTTTCGAAGAGGAAGTCGAATGATGCTCACAAGCTTTCAAGAATCCAAAATAATTAACCGTGACGTTGGCGAGGTTTCGTTTTCGTACATGTTCAATAATTCGTATGAGTAACCACCTTGTGGATATGTAGTTTGAATAGTTGAAGACAAATATTTAGTTCCTATGAATGTCTACAAGTTTTGCGGAGGAGGTCGAATAATGTTCGCAGGACTTCTAAGAACTAAAATAATTAATAGCGACGTCGGCGAGGTTCCGCTTTCATACGTAATAAAGAATTGGTTGTCATTGTGGTTCTATCCTTAAAATTTCACTTTTGTTAGCTTTTTATCACGATACTCCAATTTCTCGACCCAAGAGTGCGAAATGTGTTGTTTTTTAATTCCCGCTAACATCCCACAAAAAAAAAACAAAACAAAACAAAACGATTGAAGCCGATTAAATAACCCGTACACCGACATAGACCATTTATTTTTGTCACACGAGTGAAGAGTCGGATTTTTCCGGCGGTTTGGCTACACCGGAGTCAAAGATACGTCTTTGGTCAAAACAAAGAACAGCTCGAGGAGCATCTTGTGTTGCATGTAATACTTTTTTTTTCCCATGTAACAATTTCTTATTCTCAAGGTCCTTAAGAATGCAGAGAAGAAACTTGGCCATCTCTATCTCATGCTTAGTCAGTAATGCACATATCTATTGGGGTTTTACATACCCGCGCGAGGATACGAAATTTACCATCGAGTGTTGATGATATCGCTCACTCTTTCGATGAAATATTAAAACTCAAGAAGATCATAGATAAATTTTTATCAAGCAGTGAATATGTATCATCCTATTTATGATATATATAGATATCGAGATTAAACTTGAAACATATATAATTTTGAAACACATTTTAAAAGCACCGAACAGCGCGGGAGAGATCTACCGCACTGAAACTCACCTCGCCGAAAAGCTACCTCTAATTCGGACATTAAAATTTGACAAAATCTTGTTACAAGAAATACTTCTCTTTATTTAAAGTTGAATTCAATCTTAGAAACGTTCGTAGATAAAAGCCGTTTCGGAAAGTATTACCGTAATGTTTATAAATCCGATTATCATGACGACGTTGATATCTTAACATGTGAAGACATACATGTAAATGATACGTTTACTGCGTGCAGTGTAGATGTAATTTTTTTGTTCCATGCGAATCTATAATACTATCACAATTACAATAAATAGCGAATTTTGCGACATCAAAACTGCTGCCGCGATCTAAAGATCTTTTTCATAGAAATGCATTGCATTTTTGTTCGTTTGCTTTGTTTTGTTTTATTTTACTTCACGCTTCGTTTCGTTTTCGCGAAATATTGGCTGGTTTTGATATTGACAAGAGCTATAAGTACAACAGGTCATCCAGCTCTGTCACGCTCTCATCACGTGCGATCACACACTGTTAACTTTTTAACTCCCAAGATCATACTCGTGATTGACAAATCTGACTCTCGCATCGCAGTCGTCCGATTTTGTGAGATTACAGACCGAATAGGACTCCACTCAATCCTATTACCATTATTAATCATATGAGAGAAATCAATGGAATTTTTTAACGTGATGTAAGTGAAATATTTCATATCTGACAGCAGTAAATCAAGAAAACTCGATTGAAATTAAACCTAATTGTTTCCAGGCGCAAGGAACATTAGATTACGCGCTTTCATTTTGAAAAACATGAGCTCTAAACAGCTGTCATAAACTGGAATTTAAAAATTGAATCGTACCTGTTAAACTGTCTTCCTCTGAAGCTCCCTATTCTCCAAACGATGCTTTTTGTTATTTCTAAATCCCTGAAAATACCAAGAACAATGTTTTGTTTTACAACAATATCGATGAAAACATGAAATATTCTATATTCACTCGTTTAAAACATTTACTAGTCTCTTTTCATGCCCAGTGTCGTGAGCAAAAGTTCCTTTTCTATTTCAAGAAAGTTGTTTGTTTGTTTTTATTTTTTATTACTATTTGTTTAAATGTTTTTGCGTGACGATTATTTCATTCCGTGATTAAAATTCAGCTATTTCCCTCTCAGTGGAAAACACTCGCAATTCCTTTTTCTCCTCAGAGCAGGACACTCTCTGCCATTACTGGATCAAAAAGAATGATTTCAAACCGTGAGTTACATATCGTACCAATATCATTTTTCTTCGAGTGATCACCTCGAATCTTACTGGTTTGCCGAGCTCAGTCGTGAGATATCGAGGTCATAACGAGAAAGGTAGCTCCATATTTACAAGAAACCATGAATTATTTTGTTTATTAGACAAACACTATAGTCCTTTACTTGCAAAAAAAGTGGACTATACTAAAAAATGAGAATTTGATATTCCTTCATCCCCCTGACAAAGTGGCGCGAAAGACGAGTGACGTGTAAGCAGCTGATTGGCGATATAAATCACTGCAGTTTATATGACAAATGTTTTTTTTATCAACTTTCCTTGAAAAAAGCGTTACGATTTTCTCCAATTTTCATTTTCCGCTTTTGCCGTGACAACTTCGTAAAGTTACTAAAAATAAGAACTGTGAACTTATTCCTTCTTCCCGCCAATTCTGCACTTAGGATGTTTGCAGTCAAAAGTGAAAAAAATCTCTAGTCAAATATGATGGTGCTATATAGATCTCATCCCAATACGATTATTTTTCAAACAATGAAATGTGTTCCTTCCTTCCAAGAAACAGATCCTGATTTGCATTTGATTTCACACGCAGTTGAGTCCCAACAAGATTAAAAGGACACCCATCACTAAGAAAGTATTTTGTTTACATCAAGATACTTCCTTTTATGAGATACATTTTTCTGTTCTGAACGATTATAATTTTTTTGGGCTGAATATTGCATTGAAATCTACTTTGTGAGAACAAGTTGCATATCATGGTTTATAATCGGAGGCAGATATAAATTTAAAGAAATGCCATAAATAATACAGTAGTCTTGAATATTTTTTTCACAATTTTCCCCTTCTTTCGATTACAATATGCTATTCATTATTTCATTAGCTTTCCTCACCTTAAGAATGCCGCATTAAATTCCAATAAAGCTCTTTTCCAGGACGGATACTCGACTTCTCGTCGTAACTAACGAAGAAGAGAGTCAAATCGTTTCGCGTTTTGATTACATTAAACTCAGAATACCATATGTACTCTTCCTTGAGAAATATCTGCTGAAGTTATACAAGTATTCTCTACCTGGAAATTCCATGCATCTCTGTGCATAGAAAACCTCAGTGCATATTACAGGAATTTTATGAATTAAATGTTTTCAATCAGTTTTTCCTAGCTCTCTCTCTCTGAGCCCAGCATTTTCTGACGCGTTCGAATTCATTAACTGAGGCTATTTACTGAGGTGCATGTGAGACAAACGGCACACATGATATTGGAATCAGTAATATCAATAGAATATCAGTTGATAAACTCGTGGTAATGTTTAGTTTCATAGATTCTTCATGGGTATGTAAATAAACTACCTTAAGATCTCTTCATGATGATAATCTATATGTCAGCATTGAGAAATAATTTTGTAGTTTAGACTGATAAAGAGAGGGGCTTAATTTTTTTTCTCGGTCGTCGGATAAAGAACGATTTTGATTATTTTCACGATTGTGTAAACGAGAAAAGGATCTGGTCTGTTTGGAGGAATTTATGTCTAGACCTGCAGATTTAGATTTTTGAATATTTTTCATTCGACAATGGAGCTCAAAATTCACTTTCTTTCTTTATCTATTTTCAAACATGACACTTAACCACATTTCAGATCTTAGCAGTGTGCGTATATAAACAGTGCGTATGTCCTGGCTCATTAACGAGAGCTGTAAGGCTCTGAGGTCAAACTTTCAGATCGTAAAATCCGAAGGTCAAAGATTTGAATCCTCGAGTGAATTCATTCTCTCTCCCACGTTCGTGATGAGTAAATAAGATCGATATTTCTTTCATTCTTTAGACTCATGTTTCAATTTATTTCTATTTGTATCTTTAGTCAATACCCGTTTATCTAATTAATTGCATTAGGTCGCTATTAACTTATTCTGTCCTCACCTTAACTCCTGTGAAAATGTGACTTGCCCCACAC